TAAGACAAAAGATGTTTGTTTATTAGAAAGGGTGACATTTTTTTTTTCAATTCTTCAGAGCTGGTTATAATTAAGTACATCTGATGCAGTGCTTTCTATGTCGCTTCTTAGTCTTTTGGTCACAGTCGGAGTATCGGGTACATTACATTGTTGGAGCAGAAAGGCATCACAGTATTCATATTTAAATGGAGAAAGATTCGAGTCCGACCGGCCCACCCACCATGGAGCCCAACAAGGGGACGCAGATTCCTACGCCAGGGCTAGCTGGACCTATACGCAATCTGAAGTCCCACAGTCGCTTTCCCAAATGCAGGTACTCCCGAGAGCTTGTCCCCAAGCCACTGACACAAGAACTAGTGACCAGCCGATTGACACCCATGAGGACAACAAGGTGCCTCATGTTTAACTGAAACAGAGGCCAAAGCAGTGTGTTGGGGACAGTACCTCGCCCCTCAACTACCAGGACCCTCCTTTCCAGTGACACAGATTTCTATGCATGGCAAACACGTGGGCAGTTTTCTCACCACTCAAGAAACTAGGAACAAGGCTGTTTCAGTTGTTTTTATGATGCGCCCGAACTTCAGAAGAGGAAACCACAAGGGAGAAGGAAAATGAGAAAAGTTGCAGTTAAGAGGAGAGGAGGCAGAAAGGAGGAGAGATCACTGGGGCTCCAGGATTGTGACACCTGATCACCAAGACGGTAATCCCCTGAAGGATCTTCACCTGCTATGCTTTAGCTGGGCATGTTGGAACAGCCTTCATGCCTAGGGTGGCCCTACCAGGAGCTATGCTCCCGACGTACTTCACCCGTTCCACCCAATGACCCCCCCCCGCCCCATTGAGGCAGCATAGCAGGACTTTGGGGGGGGGGGAGCAAGTAGAATATGGAATTATAGTTGCCACAAAACAGGTGAAACTCCATGGCAATTATTTCAAATTTTATTTTAAAATATCAATACTTTGCAATTACAAATTAAAAACAAAAGGATAAATTTCTTATGTGCTCTTTTGTAATGAAGCCACAATAATAAAATGTTGAAATATCATAAATTTTAAGATAATTTCACGGAAGAACTTGAAGACATAACTTTCTAGATATTACCTACTGTAGAGATGCAAAAACTGTGGCCTGCCGAGACCTTTTCAAACTTTTGTTGTGATTTGACATAGAAGGGATTGCAATCCAAACAAAATTTCACCACTTCCCCCTTCATTACTCATTCTACTCTCTCCTCGAAGTAAGATTTGGCACTGAGCCAAGTTCTCGCCGTCAACCAAAGCATGTTTTCCCTGCCTAAGCTCAAAACTTTCTTCTAGCCTGCAGGATCAGCACCCGTATTTGGATGATAGAGGAAATGATTTGCTTGGGTATCGTATCATACACCAAGAACAGTTATGTGCGAAAGAACTAGGATTTGACCACCTAATGAATGTAGTAAGCGATACAATCAATTTTATTCACTCACATGATTTAAATCACAGGCAATTTAAGGAAACCCTAGAACACACAGATGCACCACATAGTGATCTGAAGTACGATGGTCGAGCAGTGGAGAGGCTTTGGAAAGGTTTGCTGAGTTGATTGATGAAATAATACCATTCCTTGAAGAAAATGGCAAGCAAACTAGTACGTTAAAGGAATCATCTTTCAAGTGTGACTTAGCATTTTTAGTTGATGTGACAGCTCATATGAATGACCTAAACAAAAATTGATGGTAAAAAAACCAATTCATCAACCACCTGGCCAATGCAGTATCTGCTTTCAAACTAAAACTCCAGCTGTTCTCAAAGCAGCCTGGCTGTCAAAATTTTATCAATTTTCCTTAGATGAAGAAACTCAAAGAACATTTGCCTGATAAACAACAAAGATCAGATAAAGAGGCTGCTTAATTCTTTTGAAAAGCAATTTCCAGACTTTGAGTTGCATAAGGTTGGTTAAATTTAAACTGTTTGGGGATCCATTTTCTGTTGTAGGAGAAGAAGCTCTAAAAGATGTTCAAATAGAACTTATTGATTTACAAACTTCTGACTTATCCAAATCCGGATTTGGATATTCTAGACTTTTATAGAATTCTACCTACCAAATTTTTGCGCTTAAAAAATACTGCAAGCAGATGTGCTACCATGTTTGGTAGTACTTATAACTATGTGAACAAACATTTTCTCTTATGAATGAGTCAAAATTAAGAAAAAATCAAAAAATAAAGAAATAGTCAAATTAAGATCAACACTTGCAATCTGTCTTAAGAATATCAACAACTTCAACCAAATATATCTAAAATTGTTGATAAAATTCTATCTCAATCATCACACTAATGTATTTAACTATGGCTAACTTGTATACATTTTATTAAAATATTTACATACAAGTATTAAATTATCATGCACAAGCATAAACTGTAGTTTTTTTTTTTTTTTTTTTCATGTTGAACTGGGTGTTTTGGCCGCAGTAGCACATGCAAGGTAAAAAGGAAATCCCATCCCTCTTTGCTTACATAATGGTCTCCAAATCAATTAAAATTTGATATGGTACTGTGTCTGAATTGCAAATTAAGCGACTTATTGCATTGAACCCCATGACCCCACCTCCAGGAAATTTTTTTTCATATGCTTTTTGGCCTTCGGCAACAAAGTCGTTTCTGTTAGTGGGCCTTCTGCTAAAAAGGTTGTGCATCCCTAACCTATTGTGTTTCAAGTGCAAAATAATGTCACAAGTAAACACACTGTATTTATTACAGATGCTTTTGTTAGCAACCTGAGCAGTATCTGAAGACTTTTATGATATGACTTTTCTGCATTAAAAATGTTAAATTTTTGACCAAATATTTTATTCTTCAAACAAAGAGGAAAAAACTACTGTAAATTAGGGAAAACTAGGCAGATTTTTTTTTAAATAAACCATAATTTATAATTTCAGGTTATTCTTCTGTTATTGGGACCGGATTCAGAAATGTATGTATGTATGTACATATGCATGTATATATGTGTACAATTGTTTCACAAGAATATAGTAACTTTAAATAATTCTCTTGCGCTATTGCTGCAAAGAATGAAATTTGAATTTAGCGAATATTATCTAGCTGTATAAAGCTAATATAAATTTGAAATTTAATTAAGAAATTTTAATTGCTAAAAATAAAAACTTAATTAATGCTATGAAAATTGTAAATTAGTTTGCAGCAATAATTAATTTTCTATTTTTGGAATTAAAATTTCTTAATTAAATTAAAATTTATATTAGCTTTATACGAATAGAGAATTATATGTTAAATATATATATATATACATACTGTTACGTTACTTATTCTTTTGACACCAGTTGTTACGTTATTTTCTTCCTTCATGTTCGTATGGGGTTCGTTAAGATTTGGAGTGAATAATGACAATACTACTTGATAAAGTATCGAAACACACTTTATTGGACAGTATTAACAGGGCAACTCCAAAACACGTTTTTACATTCGTCGATGAACTGCTATAAACATGCTGACACGATCAGCGATACAGCCTCCAGGTTATCAGGCTATCACGGTGGAAACAGCTTCACGGCAAAGCACTAGAGTACAGCTCCCGACTCTGTACTCTCGAGACTCTCCATGCTACAACTCGCGATGCACTCGACGACACACAGAGCACAGCTCCTGACTTTTCGATTCAGTCGTTCCCGGAGATTAACACACTCTCTCAATGATGCACTAATTGTGATACACTAAGAGACTCTTCAATGCACTCGACTACCAACTCGGCGCTAGACTTCGAGATACTCGCTCAATGACTGACTATCAGCTCGCTAGACGAGACACATACTCGATACTGACTATCTCGCACTCTATGAGGCACACTCTCACTCGCCCTCTCGACGAGGCACTTACACTAACTGACTGCGAATCAGCAGGGTTTACATAGCTTGCGGCTTGTGTTCGAGAACATTCTGGGCTAAACCGGTAAGAATTCATTCCAGAAGGTTCTCCATCCGTCCATGGCATATCGCCAATTTTGTCGTCAAATGGATGATTTCTCGCCAAATGTGGCAACCCTAAAACTGCTTTGCGGGAAAGCTATCCCACCGCACCTGTACATTTCGTAACAATACATATAAAAAATATAATACATGCATACATGAACACATACATACATACACACTTACAATTCTGAATCCAGTCCCAATAACAGAAGAATACTAATTTCAGTTTATCGTAGTTAAAATTTTTTATATTTTGTTTGGAAACGAGGAATATCAAACTATTTATCAAAACACTAAAATGCTCAAAGGCCATATTTTGATTATCTTCAGCAGCAGAATGCATATTTCCACATAAAATATACATGGGTATCAAAAGAACGATTTCAGTGTGGAGTTTAGATTGTTTTATAAAAAATAACGTTTATACTTTTTACGTTTAGCATTTATAATTTCTATTTAATATATAAGGATAAAAGAGTGGCAAAAAAGGAATAGTTTCAGATACAGAACTAATGTAATATTTTACAGTTTGGTCCTTTTATTGTACATTACCTATGAAGTAAAACCATTAATATATCAAGAATGCAGGAATATTAACGTCAATACTAAACTGTAAGAAAGCCAATACTAAACTTTAGAAAGATACATATCAAAAACTCTTCTCTTTTTATTTTTGCATCCAAAATGAAAATATCAAAAATTGCATTCATAAAAATTTTACTACATGAAATAATAAAAATAATAACTTCTAAATATAATATCCTTTGATAAGAAATAAAGGGTCACAACAAATAACAATTCTCACTGCAAAATATTTTTCAGTGGTATTTCATTTAATGCAACAAACAATTTTATCCAAATATGATACGGAATTTCATTACAGATTATAAAGGAGTCGTTCCGATTGCCCTTCCTTTTTTCATCATCTTTCCTTTAAGTCCAACTGTCCTCATTTGCTCTACAGCTTTTCCCAATATACAAATTCATTTTCTGCTTTATTATCTACAATGCAAATTCAACATAAACATTTACTTACCACTGTGGCTAACGGAGAAGCCATAAAAATAACTCCGGCACTACAGGCTGCTATACCAGATATCTGCTGCGAAAGTTCACCTTCAAAACTGAACGTTGTTAAGCAATACAAAAATCCAATGACAGATAAAGATAAAGCAAGCTGTTTATAAAAGATTCCCTGAAAGAAAATGTTAAATAACATAAATATAAAAGGAAATTTAAGTTCAATTTATTTAACAGTAAAAAAAATAAAAGTAAATACTAACACAAATATGTATCAGTCACAATATAATTTTAACTCCCACAAAATCTGAAAAATAATTTATACAAGATACATTCAGAAAATAAATTTTACACACTCACAACAAACGACAGATCATGTATTCAGAAAGGCCTGAGAGTTTTATGACGTGTCTATTATTTGTGACAGTTGCAATTTTATTTATGATTAAAATGTTTGTCTTTATTTTTTAACTGCCAAGGTTAGGTTCATAATACTTTCAAATGTGCAGAAATCAGTGCTAATTGAAATTCATTGTTTACTGTGTCAAGTATAGGCCAGACAGTATAAACATGCAGACAGTGTACCACTGGTGTAAGCAATTTTCTGAACATTGTCAAGACATTCATGACGAAGAGTAGATAGCCATCCATCAGCAATGACAACCTTGCACAGCCAATGTCGCAGCCCATTTTAGAGAAACTCCCCATTTTATAGGTTACTCAACAATTATAAAATTCAGGAGCCTTTTTTCTCAGATATCCCATTTTTTGTTGCATTAAATTGTCATAAAGTATCTCCACATATTCCAGATGCACGCCGAAGAGCCTGGCACAAATGTTTGGGATCCAGCACTTATTTTTCTCTAGTAATACCACGATGGTGGTGAATTCCACAACAAGATCATCACAGACCAGTGAAACAAAAGTTGCTCACTTTGTCCCAATAACCAAGCAGAAACTGATGCACTGGTATCCAATGGAAAAAAATTCAACATAAAACAATACAAAATAGTGTATTGTGCAATAAAATATACTTCTTTTATCCATATGAAAATTAAAAGTATTAAATTTTAACCTAAGCTACCAAAAAAATAAATGCGAATTCAAGAAATATATTTTCCATTGAAGAATGGTGTATACATTAGGTGCCCATTATCTCAACTACTACTAATTATGAAAATCAGACAGACAATCACAAATAAAATTACCATCTTTGAAAGATTCATACCTCAAGTCAATAAGTTTACCTTCCTCCTGGTTGTTGTGAATAAAACCTTCAATTGGAAGCACCATATTGACAAAATCAGAGGCAAAAACCTATGGGATTATCATCAAGATCAAACCACTGATTAATGCTAGCTCACCAGATGTAACACCCCACCATCACATCTTTATGGCCATAATCAATCCAATCATTACATATGCATCCCTAGCTTCAGCCTCAGTTACTAAGAGTTACACATGCTGCAAATACTATGGGTAATCCTCTCAGTCCGGTACTTGCTGACATTTATATTCACTATTTTGAGATTAAATTATTTGATAAACTATCTTTTCGTCTTTGGATTCGGTATGTTGACGACACTTTCGCACTTTTTCACGGTTATAAAGAGGATTTATCCGAGATTCTATCTATTATGAATTCAATTGATCCAGCCATCCAATTCACTCTTGAAATTGAATCCAACAATTCCCTCCCCTTCCTCGATATTCTTATAATTCGCAATGAAACTGATTTTAGCACCACTGTGTACCGTAAACCCTTTGCAGTTTGTTTACCACCCCACGATAAGTCATACCCCCCTGTTAAGCAAAAAATGGCTTCTTTTTACTATTATGTATTCCGCGCGCTTAAAGTTTATTCCTCTGAATCTTTGCTTACCAATGAACTTAATTATTTGAGAGCAGTTGCGACTGACCGTGGATTTTCTCCCGTGATTATTGATAAAGCCGTTAAAAAATTTTCAGATTCCCATCAAAGAAGACATTCCACTGTTAGAAATAATATCAATGACATTGTCATGCTTCCATTTTATCCTTCTGTTAGCTATAAAATTGCACGGATTCTCCAGAAATTCAATTTTCAAGTCGGTCCTCCCCTATTAATAAAATTCACCCTTCGATTCTAAAAGATTGCATTTCTGTCTTGAATTCTTGGGGAATTTATAGTATATCGTGTCAGTGTGGTTTAAGATATACTGGCCAAACGAAAAGAGCGTTGAAGTTTCGTATCAAGGAACATGAATCTTATGTCAGAAAAAGCGAAATTAACAAGTCTTCAATAGCGTATCATAGTTGGACTTTTAACCATAATTTTGATTTTGGATCTGCAAAAATTATCCAAAAGGCTTCTTCCATAGGTAAATTGGATTTTCTTGAGGCTTTTCACATTCACAAAGATTTAGCAGGTTTAGTTAATGATTTGAAGTCCAATCCAGTCCTTCCTAATGCCTTTAAAATTCTACTATCTTAATTCAGTTATTTTTGCCGATAGATGGCGTTACCTCCTCGCGTTTGGTACTACCAGAGCGTATAAAAATCCGTTCAGTGGTTGCTTTCCATTACTTGAAGTTCAGATTTTGAGCGTAAGGTGCATTTGCCCCTCGCTCCCTATTTTAACTTCGCTAATTTTTCATGCTCGATCAGATAGCCTGGCTCAGTAAAAGTAGGCGACCAGTGCAACTCTGATTAAAAATCTAGTTATAACCACGTGCAGTGCTGATAAGGACCACGTGTTTCTGTGACTCCTCCTTTATTTTCTTCTTTCTATGTATTTCTTTCTCCTGATGAGGAGGGACCTTTAGCTGCCCTCGAAATCGATTGAGTGTTTCGTTATACCTATGCTAAATACAAGGTTGTTTTTACGATTTTGATTGTCACATTAGCGTGTTTCTCTTCTAGTCTACTATGGAAAAGGTTCCCAAGAACAACTACGAGTGTTCCATATTTTATCAGAACAAGGCTCTTCATTGAGATGGCAAAGTGGAGTCACTTATGAAATACTACCTACAAAGAATTAATTACAAATTATGAAATACCTTAAAAGAAAACTTTTGACATAGTCAACTTCATGCAAAATTTGGTATATGAAATGATTGTCAATAACTATCTTCTAATGCACCACACACTTGATTAAAAGCCTCACTATGTGAACTTCAAGCCTACATTACTTTCTATTTGACTTCCAGGGTCCTGTTGTCATAAAATCAAAGCCATTTATTTGTTTCTTTTAGTACTTATGTATCATTCTATTAATGGTGAAACTGTCACCAAGTGGTGTAATTTAGTGTCAGTTATGGACAAGGGTGATGTAACGACACACTCTTAACATCTGCCGTTTCATCCGATGTAATCCTGACTGGCTCTCGACAGGCCATGTTTAGTTCAATGGCTGCTATTGCTGTATTTTTTCATGCTATTGCTGTATATTTTCCCTTGCATTTTGGGAAACAAAATTATTAAAATTTGGGACCTGCCCTTCTAGATAACATAAAGCAGTGGATTATTTCCTACATTCTGGAATTCTAAATATGAATTCAGCTGAATATGGCTGACAAGGGAAATTCTCTCATAGTATTCTAAACAGACCTCCCACTAAAATTGGGACTTAACAAAATAGCAGAAATCGACGAAAGCCTTTTTATGAAGGGCAAAAATGAAATAGATAAAATATTGGTTGTTTATTAACTAAAGATGTGTCACTTCCACAGAATTTCTCAGGAACAAATGATGCGCCCAATTAAACCAACTTTAATTGTTCAATGTTAGCCAATTTTAACAATCGACAGAACAATATGCAAGTAGCATTTTTCTTTTTTTCAATTACATCCTCCTTTACTACAAAATATTAAAATTGTAAATACATGGCAAAGAAATACACTGTAATAAAATTTGAATTAAAAAAGAGAGATTCAAAGACTGTATAGCTAATAACTTACTTTACTAACTGTAAATCTAGCATACCACATGATGTACAAGATCTGAAGAATGCCTCCTGTAGTATTTACAACAATAAGAGCTGAATCATTCACAAGCAAACCATACCTAAGCCATAATGAACAACTAAAAAGGCAAAATTCAAATTAATGGCACAAATACTTGTCTGTATGTGCACATACATACATATTTTGAAATCAAAACTGATACAGTCAAAAGTCTTTAATCCGAACTCGTCGGGACCGGTGATTCCGGATTATCGATTTTTCTGGATTACAGATCATCAGTTTAAATCTGGTAAGATGGCATGCAGAAATTATAAAATTACAAATATGAAACCATAATTTATAAAATAATGAGCAATTATGATCTAAAGGGTATCAAAATTTACAAAAAAAGAAGCTTAATATTTATTTGTTTACTTTATTAAACATTTCTTTCAACGCGCACGTGCATACCTTACGCATAGCTGAAATTAGAAAATTGCAACCAGAAAACTATTTGATTTGTATTCGTGATATTTATAATGATGAGGAATTTGATTTAAATCATATCAAAGACGGAGTACATCGAGATTAAATACAACATTTAGTAAGGAATTATAAGCCGAATAAAATAAAAACATCTGCCCTGAAGATAACGATAGTGCTGACAGATCAACTTCCAGTTCATAGCGTTCCTGTATTGGAAAATTAATCAAGTTAAACCCTTCTTAAGAAAATAAATTATCTTTCTTATGGCATTCAAATTTGATGCCAATTAGTACACTACAAAAGATAAAAACATAATATAATATATAAATATTGACTACTGTTTATATCACATATTACTGATAACTGAATAGGAATGAAATTACCTATTTTTATAAATAACAGCATATAAGATTAAAAAAAAATCCCATTTAACTACAATACAACATTTTTGAAATACATAAATCTGTTTTACTTTTGTTATGACATATTACAAACAAGATATAAATATGGTCTCATGTTCACAAATGTACAGAATACAGTCAAACCCTGCTTTATCAATTATATATTAGATTTATATATAGCATTATTCTAACATAGGTATTTTGACACAAAATAGGCCTTTTTCTGAAATAACATACCAATTTTTTTCCCTCCTTCGATTCTACGGCTTAAACTGCGCCTAGATATTAAATTTTGTAATTTTCGGTAAGAAATTTTTGAAGAAATTAAATAATTTATCTTTCCACATTTTTTTTCAGTTTGCGCCAAGAAACATTCACTTGATTATTTTTCTTTCTTTTTATTGTACACAAGCAGGAAAAAGTCATCATTCAAACTTTCAAATTATTTTAACAAAGTGCGTAAACCACATTTGGCATTACTATCCCTTATAATGAATATGCCAAACTTCAAAACGTGCCTTAGGAAATTTTGAATAAAAACTCTAATTTTTTTTCCAGGTACGCTTAGAAATATATCTACTTTAAGATGATGGTAAAAGTTTTATAGATTATAATTCAAAATTTTGTTTGAAAAATATATAAAAATTATTTTAAAATAAATCGTAAACAATGTGTGAATTTTATTTGGAATTTATCTAAATTTCAAAATGTGAAAGGAAGAATCAAATAAGTTTAATAAGAAAAGAGTGATTAATAAATATTTACCAAATTCAATTAACAAGGAGGAGATAATATTTTGAGAGCTGATTTTTTATGCGATTTTTACGAAACTTGACACTTGGACATAATTTGAGTCGTAGAATCAAAAGGTAGAAAAAAACTGGTATGTTATCTCAGAAAAAGTTTGATTTTGTGTCAAAATACCTGTGTTAGAACAATGCTATACATAAATCTAATATATATCCTAAGTCGCACTTTCGAGACTTTTAGAAATGCAAGGTAACTTTCATCAACTGGCCTTGTAGAACGGGAGACATAGAACTGTCCCCCCCCTTTTTTTTGGCACAGTGTATATATAAAAAAAGTATTGCTTCTACATGTTTCTTTCACATACTTTGAATAAAATTTAATTTGAATGAGGCCTTTTGTCATTTGAGTTTTAATGCTTATTAATCTACAGTTTTTAGTGTATTTTTTTAATTTTTACTTCTATTGATGTCAAAAAATTACACTGTTTAAGAGTGATAGGGAAATTAAACCATACATATATACAGATGGGGCAAAATTACTGAAGTAGACGAAAGCCTTTTCAGTAGAAAAAAGAATAACGTTGAATGAATTCTTCCGCCACAATGTGTTTTCGGTGGATTATGCAGAGAATCAAATGAATGTTTCCTAGTAATCGCTGTTCCAGAATGATCAGCGAAAACTTTATTGAACGTCATAAAAGAAAATATCGCAGAAGGAACCATTATTTATACTGACTGCTGGAAATCATACAAGTAGGATGAACTGCAAAATGCCGGTTTTGATCATTTTACTGTCAATCACAACTACAATTTTGTGGACCTGGAAAGTGAGTGTCATAGACAAACAGCAGAGAGGCTGTGGGGCAGTTCTAAATGGCATAATAAAACTTGCACAGCTTGACAGCATTTCGATTATTAGTTGTCCGAGTTTATGTGCAGAAGCTTGCACAAAAAAAACTGAAATATTCTCTGCTAGTTGGAACACGTAAAAATATTTACATATCTCATTTAATTTAGTTATGTTTAGCCTTTTGTTTATAAATTATAATAACACAAAATGTATTTACATGAAATTAATCTTTCATCTAAACTAAAACAATAATCTTAGATATTTATTTATTATTATATTTCCTTTCTTGCGTTAGGGTTACCATAATTATTTTTGGCAGCATTGGCATCAACAGTAGTTTGGGAATTTTTTTACAGCCCTTATAACGGAATTGTACCAATTTTTTTTAATCTTTACTTTATTCTCTAACATTCTTTTCATACAAAGAAAAAAAAAAAAAAAAACATTAAGATACACTTGTTTTAAATTAAATCTGTTCTTTTGTTAGAATTTTTTATAATAATCCAGAGGTAGTACAGAATTTTTTGCTGCTACTTGAAAAAGAACAAAGAATTTTCAATTATTTGTTAAATTATACTATTATTTTATTGAACGGTTTTTGTTTCAATTTTGATTTATGGTCTATCAGTCAGACTGTTGGAATTATTATCTGTTGATTATTTAATTAATTTTGCAGCACACTGTGTAACTTAAATAATTAATAATCTTAATTTTAAAATTTCTACTTTTTTAATATATGCATGAAAAAATAAGTAAATCAAAATTATTACTTAAATTAGCAATAACTTCTAATTTTTCATTTTAATTTGAGTATTTCCCCTCTCTGTTCTACAAATAGCAATTGCTTAATAACGTTTTCTGGATAGCGCCATTTCTAGATTAATCCATGTCATATCAGTTTTACATAACAATGATGACATAAGTAATTTGAAATTTAAACTCAATATTTTGAGAACCAAAACCTTTTTTTTAAAAAAAAAAGTGACAGGAAAGCTAGTGCATAGTCCATACCGGAGTATGCACTAGCTTTCTGCAAGTTGGCATAACTAGACTGCTGCTTCTGTTCTTATCACAAAGCTATCAAAAATATAAAATGCTTATTATTTGTGCTCACATATGTCAATTGGAGGGAAAAAAAAAAATATTTATTCTGTCTTGGCTGCCAGCTTTGCTGCTCATTATGGATCAACCAATGTTTCTACATAATCACACACACACGTATATTTATATACAGTCAAAAGTCGTTAATTCGGACACCCATAATTCGGAATGATCTATAATCCGGACCTCAAAACTAAAAACTTTCTGCGCATGCGCCGCGTTGACACATGTGCATAGGCGTTTATGCGTGTGCGTAAGACCTTTTACGACTGTGCATATGAGTGTGCGCAAGTGCAGAATACGTTTTCGCGTGCGCGTTTTATGTATAATGGACGTATAAGCTAAAATTATCTAATTATCTATTTCAGTTAATGTTGATGATTGCGTTGTTCCTTTATTTTCGAATTGAATCTGGCTTATTATTTTTTGCAGACTGTAAGAGCAATTTTATAAAAGTAAGCTTAAACTTTCGATTATATCAAATAGAATTTCCGATATATATTTGTTAATATGTAAAGGATCTAAAGCGAAAGTATGTTTTGAAATCCAAAATCTGTTTATCAATTTCACGCTGCTCGGCGGGGGGAACGCCGCGGCGGGCGCGTAATGAATTGGAAGTTGATCTGTCAGCACTATCCTTATCTTCAGCGCAGATGTTTTTATTTTATTTGGCTTATAATTCCTTACCAAATGTAGTATTTCATCTCGATATGCTCCGTCTTTGATATGATTTAAAACAAGTTCCTCGTCATTATAATTCGCTTCCAATAGCGAAGAAAAGTGACAGAGGTTATTGAAAACGAAAAAATTTCGATTGACAAATTAGTTGGTGTTCTCGACACAGCAATTACAGTCAAAAGTCGTTAATTCGGACACCCATAATCCGGAATGATCTATAATCCGGACCTCAAAGCTACAAACTTTCTGCACATGTGTCGCTTTGACGCATGCGCGTAAGACCTTTACGGCTGCGAATTTGTGTGTGGGCGTGCGCAAAATACGTTTACGAATGCGCGTTTAATGTGTAACGGACGGTATAAGCTAAGCTAAAATTATCTATTATCTATTTCAGTTAATGTTGCAGATTGCGTTGTTCCTTAATCTTCGAATTGGATCCGGCTTATTATTTTTTGCAGACTGTTAGAGCAATTTTATAAAAGTAAGCTTGAACTTTCGATTATGTCAAATAGAATTTCCGATATATATTTACTAATATGTAAAGGATCTACAAAGCGAAAGTATGTTTCGAAGTCCATTAAACAAAAAGTGGAATTGCTGCAAAAAATGGATAAAGGCATATCCTTTGTTTATCTAAACTTTAACGTTTGTTTATCTAAACTTTGTTTATCTTTAACGCGCGCGCAATGAATTGGAAGTTGATCTGTCAGCACTATCCTTATCTTCAGGGCAGATGTTTTTATTTTATTTGGCTTATAATTCCTTACTAAATGTAGTATTTCATCTCGATGTACTCCGTCTTTGATATGATTTAAATCAAATTCCTCGTCATTATAATTCGCTTCCGATAGCGAAGAAAGTGACAGAGGTTATTGAAAACGAAAAAATTTCGATTGACAAATTAGTCGGTATTCTCGGCACACAGCAATTATAGGACTTGAACAGCGGAACTTTGTAACTGAACAAGAAATTATGTCTGTTTATAGAATTAAAGAGAATGTATTATCACATAAAAAAACTTAAAAACAACTTACATTGAAAGAAATGTTTAATAAAGTAAACAAATAAATATTAAGCTTTTTTTTTTTTTTTTTGTAAATTTTGATACCCTTTAGATCATAATTGTTCTTTATTTCATAAATTACGGTTTCATATTTTTAATTTTATAATTTCTGCATGCCATCTTACCAGATTTAAACTGATGATCTATAATCCGGAAAAAATCGATAATCCGGAATCGCCGAAGTCCCGACGAGTCCGGATTAACGACTTTTGTATAAAAAATGAATTACAAAATATTATTGTATTGGTTTCTAAAAAATTGCTACAGTCAAAAGTCGTTAATCCGGACTCGTCGGGACTTCGGCGATTCCGGATTATAGATCATCAGTTTAAATCTCGTAAGATGGCATGCAGAAATTCTAAAATTAAAAATATGAAACCGTAATTTATGAAATAAAGAACAATTATGATCTAAAGGGTATCAAAATTTACAAAAAAAAAAAAAAAAAAAGCTTAATATTTATTTGTTTACTTTATTAAACATTTCTTTCAATGTAAGTTGTTTAAGTTGCTTCGTTTTATGTGATAATACTTTCTCTTTAATTCTATAAACAGACATAATTTCTTTGTTCAGTTACAAAGTTCCGCTGTTCAAGTCCCGTTAATTGCTGTGCCGAGAATACCGACTAACTTGTCAATCGAAATTTTTTTTCGTTTTCACTAACCTCTCTGTCACATTCTTCATGTCTTTATCCATTTTTTGCAGCAATTCCACTTTTTGTTTGACGGACATCGAAACATACTTTCGTTTTGTAGATCCTTTGGGAGCTCCAGAATCGGAAATTCTATTTGACATAATCGAAAGTTCAAGTTTACTTTTATAAAATTGCTCTTACAGTCTGCAAAAAATAATAAGCCGGATCCAATTCGAAGATTAAGGAACAACGCAATCATCAACATTAACTGAAATAGATAATTAGATAATTTTAGCTTATACCGTCCGTTATACATAAAACGCGCACGCGAAAACGTATTCTGCACTTGCGCACACGCATATGCGCAGTCGTAAAGGTCTTACGCGCACGCGTAAACGCCTATGCGCATGTGTCAACGCGGCGCATGCGCAGAAAGTTTTTAGCTTTGAGGTCCGGATTATAGATCATTCCGAATTAATTACGACTTTTGACTGTATTGGTTTTATGTTAATTCCTTGGATATCACCTTTTTGTTTCATATACAACCATTTTATGTTTTGAAACCCTACAAGACATCTGTTGTCGCGTTTTTTACTAGAACTTACTCCATACACCCTCTGGCGAAAGAGACTAAAAGTAGTCAGTTGAACGGCTGACGCGTCTAACAGATGTATAACGATAGACCGTCTCCGTATAAATTATGCTTGTAATCATTATAACTTGTAAATATTTTGTAGATATCTTTCATATGAATTAAAATTTCTTAAAAAAGTTTATAGCTGTGTTTCGCAGTGAATCGAAGTTCATTACAGAGACGGATACCGACAAGAAGGAAGAAGGCAGTTCAGGGCAGCCCTATTTAGAAGGTAAGTAAACTTTCACTTATCTATTTAACGATCAAAAAAATTTTAATAGTACAAAGTTGATAAAATTTTTTAACAACTGTTGTAATGTATCATCGTTGCGATTTTGATTTCTCAGGGTTTATTTCTGCGTTAGATGACGCACAGGTAAATAATGCATAGGATGTTGCTTAGGTAAATAAGGCAAGTCGATATTTCCTTTTTGTACTGCATAGATTAGATAACATGTATTTTCATTTTTATGTTATTTCCTTGTTTGATTTAAAATGAAGTTTATTGAGATTATGCAGTTTTTGTTTTAATTATGTTTTATTGCATTATGTTTTGGATGCCATTTTTCTGGAGAGTATCATTGGACATAATCAGGATTAGCGTAAAAAAAATTGCCAAACATTTTTACTGCACTATTTTATAAACAATGAAGAAAATACTAGAGCCAAGTGATAAATGACAATATGTTTTCAAAACAGATTCATACTTCAATAATATTTTTCAATATGAGAAATACTACATTCGGATTATAAATATTTCAAGAGTTAAAATGCAAATGTTACTACTGTTACCATTAATATTCTGTTTACCAAATGAAAATGTTTTCCACTCTTAACTAAAGGTTAACAAAAATAAATTGTTTTGCATGAAAAACAGGAAAAATACATTAAGCTATGATAAATGCATTAAATTTAAAATTTCCATTTCTTCGAACAAAATGTATTACCACAATATAAATAATAAAATGAGACAAATTTTGCACTTTCATACACATACCTTACTAAGCCACATAAAAAAGGAAGAGCTGATATGTCAGAAGTTGATTTTTTCTTCCAAATTTTACGGCATATTTCTCTGCAGATAAAGTACAATAAGAAACACATTAATCTTCAGAAATCCACAATCTTTTCTTTTAACTTCAGAAAATTTTCTTAAATTACATATGCATACAGATTATCAGAACTTTCAATTTTCCAATAATTCAAAACATGATTTGAATTTTTAAATGACTTACCTATTAGGAAACAAATTATGAAATGGATAATGAACTGCAGTAAATTACAATACAGATATAGAAAATAGGATAAATCTGCATATAAGATAATTCAATATGCATGATAAATCAGTATGTCTGATGATTCAATTATTATGACATAAAAATATTTGATAATTTATTAATACTAATTTAACATATAAAACATATATGATAAATCAGTATTTATGAATCAGAGGATAACTATTAAAAATCATGGTTAATCTTTAGATTATGGTAACTTGGCGAATTTTTGGCGACCAACCCTGCTACAGCAACCTGCTATTTTTTGTTTCGACACCATTTTGTTTTCACGAAGTAAAGACATGTTTTTATTTTTTTCCCTCAACATTTTTTGCAACAATCTGCTAGCCGAATTACGCTTATGCTAGAACTTTTATGGAACAAAAGTGCTTAATCATGACGAAGATTAGGTGCAAAATTGGGAGAAAGTGCAGAATCGCAAACTGCTTGCCGCGTTTTTAAGAATTGCACATACACGGTATCCATGTACATGTCAACATATTTTAACTTAAAAAAACATCCCAGAGTTGCACAAAAATGGCATTGCGCACACTCTTGACTTCATCCATGTACACTGCTAAAGTCCTAGCTAGTAACCTTTATCGCCTTACCAAAATGTTGCCAAACTACCTGTTACCATATTCCAAAGATTAGCCAAAATCATATATATCTATACCAAAATACATACTTTGGTAGCCTTTAATTCTTCAATTCAAATTCAGAGGAATAATTATCCGAATATGATCATTATTCTAATATGTCAGCAATTAATATCCTTATCTAGTCTTATTCTTAGTATTTTCTAAACAACGAAGTATGTCCTAGAAAGGCATAGCAATAATTATCCAAATATGAATATTAATCTCATTCTTAACAATGTATTGGCTGCATAATGAAGCACATCCTACTAAGGCAATGTATGATTTGATGTATGCTTTTTAACAAATTATAGTTGATCTTTACATTATGGTAACTTAACGTTTTTTTTGGCGAAAATTTGGCAACCAACTCTCCTACAGCAACCCTCTATTATTTTTTCCCTGCCGCCATTTTGTCTTCACGAAGTAAAGACATGTTTCTTTTCTTTTCTATTACAATCTACTAGCCGAATTACACTTATGCTAGAAATTTTATCAAACAAAACTGCTTAATCATGACAAATATTCACTGCAAAATTGGGAAAAAGTGCACAATACCATACTCCTTACACGTTTTTCAAAATAACACATACACATAAACCATGTACACTTATTTTTACTTAAAAAAACCCGGTAAAAAGAACATATATGAAATTACCTGATCGCGAAAAAGTATTTACCCTTTCCAAATATGAACATTTCCACATATAAAATAAATAAAATATCCAAAAACTTTTACCTCTAAATCATCTATTACATTATACACGTCACCAACGAATTCATACTGCAAGCATTACAAATACTTAGTGTCAGATATTTAAATTATTTCCATGCACGTTTATTTCAACTTAAACGTATACCAAATTCCTACAAACATAAAATTCACAAAATAACTATCATTTAATTAAAATATCACTAAACCATGTACACGTTGACTTATTTTTACTTAAAAAAACATCCCAGAATTGCACAATAATGGCATTGCGCACACTCTTCACTATATCCATGTATACTGCTTTTTTCTCATAAATTAGAAAAATTTCACGAAAATACATGACAATTTTTCTCAATCTTTAAAACCCGGTAAAAAGAACATATATGAAATTACCTGATCGCGAAAAAGTATTTACCCTTTCCAAATATGAACATTTCCACATATAAATAAATAAAATATCCAAAAAATTTAACCTCTAAATCATCTATTATATTATAAACGTCACCAACGAATTCATACCACAACATTACAAATACTTAGTGTCAGAATATTTAAATTATTTCCATGCACGTTTACTTCAACTAAAAGTATACCAAATTCCTACAAACATAAAATTCACAAAAATAACTATCATTTCATTAAAATATAATTAAATTCAAAAACACTACTTAAAATATAAATGAGCACATACATTAAATTAATAAAAATTACCTTACAATCCTAATTACTTTAAACTAAATCATTGCTAATAACAATTTTCCCAATAATACTAAATTCCTTTCCACCTTACATTTAGAACAATGCATAAAAATAATATCCTCAAATAATTAAAAATACTAACTTACCTAATCTTCTTCAGAATCTTGATTACGTGGCGGATACACTTTCTAATTCATTCAATAAAATTATTGAAAGATTTTTCTGCGAATTTTTCCTCTATACTTCCTCCGCTAAATAAAAAGCAAACTTCTCTTTATCACAATGCCTAAATACCCATTTCGAATTCACTTTAGTTAGGGCCATGGGATTCAAAAATTAAACAACACTCTTTCACACAACACAGAATAAAGCTAAATACAAAATTTCCACATTTTTTCCCGATTAAAGAACCGTAATTCGTCCATTAATATCACATGACATATCCCATGATCTCTCATTTCCCTCACGCAAAATAATGCGTAATCGGAACTGAGTACTGCTCACATTATTACCAAAGTCCCAGGTAGTAACCTTTATCGCCTCCAAAATGTCGCCAAACTACCAGTTACCATATTGTAAAGATCAACCGAAATTATTTAGCTATGAAAAATAAGACTCAAGATACAAAAGAAAGTATAATAATGGTTGAACATGCCCTAGTCTGTATTAAATACCAAAAGATGTTCTTTTTTAAATATGCAATTCATAAATTTTCAAGTTCATTATGAATGCTGATCATTACTTTGCCATTTTAGAAGATATCAAAACAGTATCAATCAAATTTTTGCAATGGAAAATTGCCTATGAAACATAAAATTTCTACTTCAATGGTTTTGTTTTTCTATAATTTGATTTTGAATAAAACAGTTTCTATTTAAGAATAGCACTCTTCAAATTATAATTTGCAGAATCAAAAGCAATATAAAAATTAAAAAGAAAAAAAATTAAACAAATTTAAAAAAATGTTCTTATACTTAAATTTGTGGAGAAAATAATAATATTTTTTTTTTTTTTTTTTTTTTTTCCTAGAAGGAAAACATTCCCAAAGTAGAAACTGAAAACTTTTATGTTTCAAATAAATATTACAACTGAACGTTCATTAGAACTTTTTTACCAAAGACAAAATATAAAGGAGTTTATATAAAATTACAGATAAAAATAAATTACATTACTTCACTTATAACTTTGATAAACTGCAATAATTTTTATGAAGATCACATTAAATAATTTTATGGCACTTGTATTTTTCACATAAAAATTATTGTCAGTATGCATATTCCATTACAAGATTATATAAAAAGAATATACAAGTATTTAACTTAAACAAGTTGTAGTATACTTAAAATATTTTTTATTCTAAACATAACTAATATTAATGATAGTTTTATTATCTACTCAAAAACTGCTGCAATTAAACAAGGAAAGCAAAGTAAAATAACTTACACCTATATATATAAGCTTTCGTATAATACTTTTCTTCATTAATAGCATAAGCATACGACAAAATTTAAAAACAAATATATTCCTCACTTACATGCCGGCTAAGAATACGGCTATTGTGCATACTGTTGCAGCTTGACCAACTATATATTTCAGATCCATATCCTTCAAGACACATGGACGATGTTCACACGGATGCTGTTTTCCTGAAATCACATACTTTTGAACAAGATATAAGAAAGATAACATGTCCACGTACAAGACCCAATCAATTCACTATAATTATAAATACATCAGTACATATTTCATAATTTACTCAACTCGATTTCCTCAATACAGGAGAGATACTACAGAAAGAACATTTATTAAGAGATCAAAAGATAATTATTCAACTGACTTTTTTACACTTGATTTTGCTTTAAAAGAATAAACTCCACCAGTAACAGGACATCAGAAATCCAAAACTAACTTTAGCAAATCGCTTTATGTTGCCAGATGTTGCATAAAAATATATTGCGCAATATACCGTATACCCTATAGGAAGAATCATGAACTCCCCACACATTCATCTCACTTAGTTGCCTCCACCAGACCAGCTCACTTCGTGAGATTCGATCCCATTACAAAATGTCCAATTTTTGCTGCTTTAGCCAGATGACCAGTGGTAAAGTATAATGCTTCCGAAACTCCTAATACAGGATTGATAACAATGTTCAGTGCGTTACAATAACTTAAATTGCAATTCGAAACACATGTTACCGCAATGGATGGAATGCAAATACGCAGAAATCACATAGTTGATAACTGGTTGATTCTAATTAATCAGTTGTATTGTTAGTAATGAGGAACAAACTACAAGCAGCTGCTTTCTGCCGCTATATCAAGAACGTGATTATAGTATGCACCATACCCCAATACATAAGGAATTTTCTCTTTCTTGATTACGCGCAGTTGTGATGTAATCGGTAGCACGTCCAGCTAGTAACAGAAGTTTCGGAGTCTGAATTCCGGCAAAGGATTAGCTGATTTCTCGTGTTTCGCGGCTCCTTATACCGTCGTTCCAACGACCGTATGTAATGGATGATAATTCGTCGCTATCTGGATTTATTCCCTTCCCAACCTCCCTTTAAGTCGGGGAGAATATAAGAAATTTTCTCCTTTCTCACTGCATGCCTTTGGGGTGTAATTTCTATTACTGTCATCGGAAGATCCGGAGTTCGAATCTCAGGCTGATTTCTCGGGTTTTGCTGCTCCTAAAAATTCTAATTGATTTTCAAATTTACAGAAACATTTGTGAGGTCTTCTGAAACCTTTAAATAATTAATTCTCATTAATAATTTAAAGTCTGAGACTTAATTCAGTCTTAACTAAGGCAACTACTCAGGTTGCTGCTAAGTTGCAAGGAAAGAGTATTAAAGTGTCATAAACTGCTGAAGATATATATATATGTATATATTTCAGATGCTGCGGATAAATGAAAGAAGTATTTACACGACTTTACCTAATGTCATTAATTAGAAAATATTTATTCACTTACAGAAATCCTTTCTCCGAAAACTTTATTCTAAAATACAGGAATTCTTGACTTTTTGTCAGTGCTTTATCACTCTTCAAAACGTGCCATTCTATATTAAGTTCTCGTAATTATTTCTTTAATCCATTAGAAAGTTGTCACTAAATGTCACTTAACAAACAAACAAAAATTTTTTGACAAAATTATGATATTTTTATTCTTCCAGTTACAGAAATGTCATTTCACCTGCTTCTAAGCAAGCTGAGACAGCATGTAATGAATTGAAATTCGTACAACATCGATTATATTTCTTTTCTGTAGGTTGAATTAATTAAAGCAACTAAGCGTTGGCATTATATCTCATTTCCTGAGAATTCCATAAATATTACTTTCACATTGAGGCCCAATATATGGAATGCTTCAATAAAAGGTGGTTTGGGTTTACTAGATTAATTATTTCATAGTATGCCAGAAGTGCTTTACTTGTAAAATTTTTAATTTCATTGACAATAGTTAGTCGTATTTTAAGAGAATGGGACTTCGGAGGATAAGCTTAGTGAAGAGGGAGAAAAAGGAGGGGACAAAAAAGATGAATCATGCCTGTGCAACTAAAAAGAAGAGAAAAATATTAAACTCATGTTTAAGTTTCATGCTGTTCGTGTTATTTGTATTATCGTAAAATAAGAAAACACCAGATCTAGTACAGAAGTACCATCTGTGGTCACATTAGTGTTAACTCTTCTGCGATTTCAAGAATCTGGCAGCAATTTCAGTCAGATAGTTTACGCAATATATTCAAAATTATTTTAATTTAAGTATTGTAATTTTAATTAAGTAAGTAAGATTCTTAAGAATCATTCTTATTATAAAATTTCATTGTTATAAAAACAGAAAATGGAGATATTCATGAGTAAATAAAAACTGAAATAAAGATCATTTGCTGATATGTAATATCTTGTTACTAATACTGACGTTTTCTCATGGCAGTTAAGAATTTTAATAAGATACCGTACTTGTTTTTCCTCAGACTCTAATGGAAGATTATATACATTGTGTTAATGAATAATCTGTTGATGTTATTAAAGCAAAAGGGATCAGAACGGTTGAACAGTATCCAGAAGAGGACTGTGTACACGTTTATACAAATAGATGAGACCATCACTAATGGACGTTTTGGAGTATTTCTGACTATCCCAGGTGATACAATTTATCAACATAAACCTGTGCTGGAGCCTTACTCTTTAACTCCACTTGCGAGCTTCTAGAAATAGCGGAGGCACTTAATATGTAGCGGAGGCTTACCATTTTTGTGCAAGCAAAAGGACTCGTTGTCTTCTGTGACTACAGGCAATCTTGGATGGAAGTTCCTTGATCACCCACGGGATCCTCTTTCGCCCAAAGAAGTTTCAAAAGTTAGATCAGGTGTGCATTCTTCAATGGTTTCCAGCGATTGTCAACATCGCAGGTAACGAGAACGTACAATAAACTGGCAAAAGAGACTCGAAATCTCACCAACGTTAAGATCCTCCCTTTCAGATGCAAATACCATAACCAAATACAGACTGAGGTAACATTCAATTCCAATACAGCACCAGCTTCATAACGTCAACTTATAACTAAAATAATAGCTATCGTAGAAAATTGAAAATTGGCAGAGAGGGCAGGAAAATCTACAAAAAGTGTAATAACTGCCCGGACACAGAACTGACAATTCCACATATTTTTTATTGTCCAGACATCCTTGCCCAATTGTAAAAAAATTGGAGTCTTATTTAAGAGACCCCGATTAGAGATTAGAGACACAATCAGGTAGATAAGTGACTGTCTCATCAGATGAACCATCTGTATAAGCGCGTACATATATACGTCCCTTTTGAATACTATTCAGCCTGTATGATGATAGGGCTGTTATCTTCCTTCATGACACTATTTAAAGAGGCTTTATCATAGACACGACAATAAAAACAGCAACAAAAATGAATAATCTTCATTTTGTCACCATAAGCTCTGGAGTAATTTTTAAATGGAAGGACAGGAAAGCAAGCTTCTCTTGTCTCGAGATATTTTGCTTTTGTCAAAAATAATTTCATTATATTTATCCTCTTCCTACTCATTCAACTTCCCTTATGACCTTCTGCTAATATAATTTGGTAGTAGTATCAAAATTTACTTGTAAATGCATTTTTTTTTCATTTCTACATGTATAAAATGCGAGAGTAATGAATAAGGGTGTAGAGACATTAGGTATTTTTTTGGAAGCAGGAGGAGTGAAAAATGATCAATGCCTTCGCCGGGAATCGAGCCACGGACCTCTGGAATACGCGCCCAGCGCTCAGACCACCACACCACGAAGGCACGCTAAGAAGACAAGAGAAATACCTTATATATACCCCCCTTTTAAAAGGCGAATGGGGTTTTTAGGGAACCCAGTAGCCAAATCCTAGGTGTGCCCAGCGTGCAGACCACCACACCACGAAGGCACGCTAAGAAGGCGGGAAAAATACCTTATAAGGGAAGTAATTTTATCTTCCACATAAAGCATTCTCGACCAAAAAATTTATAAATTTTAAATATTTAATTTTGTTACAAAACGTTTTTATTAAGAAAACTGGTATTATAATATGGTCGCATTGAAATGTAATATAACTTAACAGAAAATGAACTAGAGTAGTAATATCTGAAAATCCAAGTACAGGCCATTATTCCAAAAGAATTTATTTTATATATTTCTGTTACTGTTTGCGATGTTAATGCATATTTAATTAGATCATTTGCGAAAAAGTGAATATGGCATCACTATAACATATCTTGAACATTTAATTAATTAACGCCTAATAATTAAATTTAAATCTAACTTGAAAACGAAAATTAAACGAAGAAAATAACCTAACAATTAATTCCAGTAATATCTATAAATTTGGTAAAACAACAACACAGACTGAAAATGTTATTCCACTTAATTTGAAGATTAGTTAAGATTTTGTTAGAAAATTCCAAAAATTTGCACTACGTTTCGTTACAAAGCCACATTCGCAACTTTCATTCATAAAATATACAATGCCTTGCATAATGACATTGTAATTTTATACTGATTTAATCCTTTTGCGAAACAAAATGGTCATGTTTAGGAATATAAATAATAAATTATACCATTTTCAAGGATATATGACATGTTCACGGGAGAAAATAGTGCAAGAAATAATCTAACAAGATGACGGAATTGGAGGGCGTCATTGACAAACGCAGAATACCATTACATTCTATTCAATAAAATTATTTTAAATTGTGAGCTGGCCATTTTACCGTGGATGTACGTAAAATGTTTTCTTCTTGCCCTACTTTTCGAACATTTCTTACACAAGAAAATAAAATTAGGGCTACTATCCTTATTTCGGAAAACGTTATAACAATAGTTATAATTTATTTAAATATTTCACGAAAGAAAATTGAACTTCTCGCCCTAAATACAAAGCGGAAACCATTTTAATCATTTTCTTTTTTTTTTTTTTTTTTTTTTTTTTTTTTTCTAAATAATAAATGCAGTTTGTTTTTATTCTCAGGAGGATTTGATTTAGCTGTAATAGTAGATTATTTCAAAGTAATGATATCTTAGGTTCAGGTACAATTTCAATTAAAGAGTTAATGACGGAGAGGCCATTCTTTTTGTTAAAAATAATTTATGAAACTTTTGTTTATTAATCTTTTAGATGCTTCCTGTCTTTGAATAATTAAAATATTTTTGCGTTTTCCGGCTTTTATGAAACTGAAACATATTTCTATTACATTTAAAACATAATGCATTTCTTACCAAATTTTAGCTTATGGGGGGGAAAGGACATAACGAATTACATTTTCTGAGAAAATTT